TAAAGAACTGGAATTACTCCTGTAAATACAAAAAAAAAAAGGAGGGGGGGAGAAATAAAAGAACTGTTCCCACATAAAACACTTATCTCCCACCTAACAGATTCCCCATCACAGAAAAGCTTTTCCCAAACATCAGGTTTGTGATATAGGAGAGGACATATGATAAAACACAAGTGCTGGGCAGAGACTAATCTTTCTTAGCTGTCCACTGAGATGAGACATAAGTCGAAAGAGTATTATCAGTGTCACAAAACTGCGGCAGCTACTGTTACAGCAGGCAACATACAATACTTTACTAAGCCTATTGAATTTCATGTTGCTACAACCAAAACCAAGCTATTCTGTCTTCCTGCCCCCTATACATTCCAGTAAAATTGCATTTGCTGAATTAACTATATCCATGTTTCTTGCAGAAGCTGCAGAGCTAACTCTCATCTGCAACTATTTCACTGCTTGATATACAGATGTTTGTTTGCCTGTTTTATCATGTCTATAATCCAGGAGAGACTCAAGAGTTAGCATTCATCTGGGTGCCTTAGAACAGGGCTGTCATGCTGTCTAAGGCTTGAAATCCCTTTAGAGTCCTATCTCCAGTGATGACCAACATCAAATACTACATAAAAAGACACAAGAATCCTCCCACACACAGAAGTGGAACTATCTCCCCACAGTGTTATTTTTGTTCTAACCCACAACAGGGAAGTTAATTTTACCCTGAACCATGCTAATTTATATTCCTCACAAGATTTATTTACACACATTTTCATAAGCCTGTTTTAACAAGTGCAAATTAGGTGTCAGATTCACTTCTATCATTAAAAATTGCAAACTGAAAGTGTACCAGGAAAGTAATCAATTTCACTCATCTTAAATTGTGAGACTAGTGAGTGCTGGAGGGAGACCCACTTCTGGTCTTGTGCTCAAGGGTTCAGAGTGGGTGGGAAAGGGGACTATCCATTTCTGATGCTCTGCTGACAGAAATAGTTAAAGCAAGCTGTTCAAGTCCGGTAATCACTATCTGATTTTCTATCCTGTTCTGAAGAAAATGCACTATTGCATCTGGAAAGTTTGCTGTAGGATGTATCAGAAAGCCAGTCTGGTGAAAGGGATGAAGTACTAGGGTGACAGTTAGCAAAGAGAGGCAGAGCTGTCCCTAGTTGTTTCCTAAACACCATTCTCCACTCCATTTGTTAGCTTTATGATTATTGTCTGTGAAGAGTCAATCTCCAGGGAACAGATGTTCATATTATCCTGAGATACCTAAAGATGTAATCAGCTGAAAGCAAGCAGGAAGATAAAATTATTTGGTAGTTTGGTAAATGTATTGCTATACTCTAACAGATACAAAAGCCATTCCTACTATAAATAAATGAAAAACTAAACCTCCACTCAGATACAACAGATCCATCTGGAAAGACCTGCGACTAACCAGAATGTTTACCAATAAGCATTCAGTGTCTCCTGATGCAAACCCACTAATTCTATAACTATTTAATCAAGCTTTATGCAATTAGGTAAGGTAAATGACAGGCAATATGTGGAAAAGTTTCATTCTACTAAAGCTGTATTTAACTACGTCTACACCATATAATCAGGAACCTTAACTGAAGCCATTTGCCATGCTGCTTCAAAGCTTTTCTTGCTGCATGGCATGGTGCTGCATCCTACTTTGTGCTGGCGCATCACTTACCTGATCACCTGTAAAGGCCTTATCTCTAATTAGAAGTCACCAGGCAGAGCTGGTTTTATCATACTGAATAATAGTGAGATTCACCACCATTACCACAAAAAAAAAACCTTCCCATCATCTCCATCGCTGCTCAAGTCATGAACGATGGTGTGACTTAGTCACCTTCACCATATACCAAAACTGCCAAACAGCTAGTCTCCTCTCCCAGTTCAGTTTCTTACTTGCCACAGACCATCTTGTAGGTAGCAGGAAAAGAGCTACATCCATCCCATAATGTACTCCTGACTCATTGACATTGGTTTCCATTCCTGTCCACAAACACCTCATTAATCAGCATTATCTTCAGAAAAAGCCAAGCCTTCTTGACCTCTACACTTCATACAGCTCTGACACCAGCAACTTTGATTGGCTCTTTAATAAATTAAGCCAGCCCTACAAAAAGCCATAGTTGGGAAAACATTACATTTTAGCTTTAAACAATAGTGGCACACACCTAGTCTTCACATAGTTTGGCGAGCTGCATGTAGAACTTTTCTGGCTGAAAAGTGGATTTTGGTGGAAAAATCAGTCTTTCTACTCAGTAGAGACATTAAGGAAAAGAAACAGAAAAGTAGCCATATTTGTAGAAGAAGGAATAAATACATAGGCATGATTCAAAATGCTTGTTTCGCTCCTGAAAACACACTGAATTGCCATTCCTCTGTAGATGGAAATTGTCTAATTTGAAAAGCAGTGAAAACTTACCAGTTACAAGCAGCTGTTTTCTTGTTTTTAAATGGAAAACATTCATAAGGATTTTTAGTTGATGTGGTTAAGGCACTGCAATGATTCCAGAAATTAAGGCCCCAGAAGAAAACATTGCCTGGCCAACAACCCATGGATTTTGAATCCCTCCACCCTCAGTAGCCCCTCTAACCTATATCATGTCAAATGCAATAAATTAAGGACACACCAAACCTATACCTTCTGTGTCAGCGATCATCATGTATGGGTCCCTGTAAGGTCTTTTAACTTCAACCTTCATACTGTGACACAGCTGTCCCTACAAAGCACGAAGGGAAGTGAAGAAGTAAAGCTGCGTGCAAGAGCAACATATGCTTCTGCTGACATCTCAGGATGGACTAAGAAAGTGAATATTTCAGAAAGGGGAGTCAAGGGGGGGACATACACAACAAAAACAATAAAAAAACCCAAACACCACACTTCTCTCAGCAAGGCTTCCAGTCTACCCCTCACAGAGGTCACCATGCAGGACAAGCTTCACAACAGTGCCTCTACATTCAGTAGTAGGCTGTAGCAAGCAAGGAAAAGCTAAAGGTCAAACTGGCTTTCCTTGTTTTTTCAAACATATTGGATGTTTTGTTTTTTTTTTTCTAGTTAATAAACAAGTGCAAACAAAGGCAAGATAATACTGAAACAGCCAAAGGCTGCTGAGCTCCTGCAGTATTTTGGTGCTGTGAAAACCCTAAGAAACTTACATAACTAATGTAAAATAGCAGGTAGGCCACTAGGTGCCAACCCACAGACCTTGGGTGCCGCAGTCATTTGACAAGTACTGGTGCAGCCCTGGCAATAGCTCTGAGCTTCTTTTGTCACTCTGACCTGAAGCTGTACAACAGTTTTACACAGCTAATAAACCTCATCCCTGCTGTAGCCCCATACATGGCATCACACTGCAAACTCATTCTGGTTTGTCCTGGCCTCCTCTGACTAGCAAACATGAAAAAATGCAATGGCGTTTGCCGTGGTTGAGAACAGTAGTAGGCGTGCTCTGTGTTCTTTCATAAGTCCTTAAGTTTTTCTTGCCTCATTTTTAGGGCTATAAAACCCACTCCAGCACTATAGTTTCACAGCTACCCTGAGGTGCCCTGCAAAGGAGTCGCTCTGCCTTCCTCCTTCACTCCTAGTTGTCCTTTCCTGCCCCAGCATTAGTGTTTGGGCAGCCATGGTGAGGACAGGATCAGGGAATCATAAAGAAACACCACACCAAAGTAGTAATAACAACAGGATTCACTTCTAACCTGGATCTATTCCCTCTGATTCCTAACTACTTACTCAAATGCGTGCTGGCACACAGGAAGTAGCGGTTGTCTTTGACTTCAGTGAGGTGAAAGCCTTCTGAAACATCAATCTCAGAGAGAGGTTTTATTGCTGTAAGCATTAAAGAAAACTGATTTTTGTGTTTGCTTTATTTATAATGTCATCTGCAAGAACACACTTTCCCAAATTTTCAGTATATTGGTGCCAATCCAAACTTTCTGCACTAAGTGACTCAGTTCTCCAAATAATTACTATTCCTATGTTCTCCCTAGTTACATATTCTGCAGGAAAGAGAGCCTGCATTTCCATATCCCAGTCAGTACTCAGGAGTATTATTCACATATGCCTTCAAACTGACTGATGAGTTATTATTTGCTCTTGCTTGTTTTTTCTCTCCTAAAATGCCCACGCATACTATCAAATGTTTTGAAATGTGGATTCCCATGAAACTGGCAATGGCACTGGATTTGTAGGGATTTAATCAGATTAATCGTATTACATTGGCCAACTCAATTAGTTATCCAATTGGTTATGCTATTAGTAAGATAAAAATAAAACAAGGTCCTTTATTATCAACACTCTAAAAATACCCTGGATTCTGCTCTGAGCATTTAGTGCCAGTGATACATGCATCTAAAGGCCAACTGATTGATCACCTGCAAAAGCCAAAAGCAAGGTTTCCACAAAAAATTTGCATCAGTGTTGTTAACTCATCAACTATGATGTTAGATTATCATCTAAGCAGATTAATATTTAAATTATGCAGCTCATGAGAAATCACATGGGGAAACTATTTCTCAAGCTGCCTTTTGTAGGAAACATCCCTGATGCAAAGCAAATATTTACAGCACACTTGATTTGCAGTGGCCACATGACAGAGTTCAGGATCTGGAGGATAGCTGGGAAGGTGAGCAGCAAAGTTAGGGCTCTGGGAATTTGACTTGTTTGGGTAAAGGTTAACTAAAATTCCCCAGCAAGCTGTCATCCAGCAGAAAGGATGGAGCCTGAATTTTAAAGAAAACCAGGAACAATCCATCCCATCAGGCAGGAAGGCCAGAATTTCAGCAGAAGTCCTGTCAGGCTAAGTCAGGAGCTTCTCAATAAACTAGAACACAGAAAGGAGTGTACAGGAGAAGGAAACAAGGCAACAGAACTGGTAAGAAAACCAACATCAAATAATTATTTGTTGTTGAACAGGCTGGGAAGGTGAGGAGATGGAGTTGAACTCTATGTGAGAAAGCAGCTGGAATGCATGGAGCTCTGCGTTGAGATGGGTCAGGAGTCAGCCAAGAGTTTATGGATCAAGATTAGCAGCCAGACCAACATGGGTGCTGATGTAGTCCGTATCTGCTATAGACCTCCTGACCAGGAAGAAGACATAGATAAGGCCTTCTTCCAAGAACTAGAAGCAGCCTCATATCCACAGGTCCTGGTCTTCATGGAAGACTTTAACCACCCTGATATTTACCAGAAGGATGATACAGCAGGGCTCAGGTAATCTAGGAAAGTTTTTGAACACGTTGATGACAACTTCCTGGCACAGGTAACCAAGAAGCTAACAAGCAAATGGACTCTCCTGGACCTCATAGTTACAAGAAGGAAGAACTTGTCAAAGATGTGAAAGTTATAGGCCACCTTAGCTGCAGTGACTTCAAGATCTTGAAGTTCAGGGTCCTGAGAGGAAGGAAAAGGGCAAAAAGCAGGAACACAGCCCAGGATTTCAGGAATGCAGCTAAGGCTGTCTCTGACTTTCATGTGTCAGACAAGTTCTTCCTTGATCTCAAGGACTCCCTTCCAACCTAAATGATTCTTTGATTCTGTGAAGCATTTAAGTATTGCTTCAAAGCCCAGCTAGAACTGAAAGTAGAAAGAGACAGGGTAACAGGAAAGGCTTTTGTAGGTATATTAATTGCAAAAAGAAGGTGAGGGATGACATGGGTCAAAAGGTACTTAGGAGTTGACTAACATAATTTCAAGACTGATGTCTACTTCTGTGAAGAATGTGTGTGATCAGGGAGGTCTCTGATGGTAGGAAAGATGACAAATGTTATACCAATCTCTAAGGCAGGCAAGAAAGAGGGCCCAGGGATCTATAAGCCTCACCTCAGCCCCTAGAAAAATCATGGAGTACATCCTCTGGAATCAGTTTCAAAGCATATGACAAATTAGTAGGAAGCAGTCCTGAAGGAAAAAGGAACCCAGCAAGGCTAGACGTTCTTCAAAAAGGAAATCTTACAGATGCAGGAGCAGGCTGTCCCTATGTGCCAAAACACAAACAAAAGTTTGGCTGGGACTCAGAAGGAAAAAAAACCAACAAACTAAAGCAACCAACCAAACAGAAACCCCCCCCCACACTCATGTTTATGACCTTTGGAAAAAGGGGCAGGCAACTCAGGAGGAATACAAAGATGTTATGCAGGGAGAAAATTAGAAGGGCCAAAGCCCAACTAGCACTTAGTCCAGCTACTGCTGTAAAAGACAATAAAAAAACCCTTTCTATAAAACACTAACAACACAAGTAGGGCTAAGGAGAATCTTCATCCCAGACTGGATGCAGGGGAAGCATAGTGACAAAGGATGAAGAAAAGGCTGAGGTACTCACTGTTAAAGACTGAGGCAAAGGCAGCATTAAGACCAGTTGTTCTCTGGGTACCCAACCACCTGAGCTGCCAGACAGGGCTGGGGTGCAGATTGGAGCCTCCATAACCCAAGGGGAAATAGTGACCTGCTACACCACTTAGACACACACAAGTCTATGGGGCCAGGTGGGATCCACCTGAGGTAACTACTGAAGGAGCAGATCGAAGTGCTCACCAAGCCACTTTCCATCATCTACCACAGTCTTGGCTAACTGGAGAGGTCCCAGTTGACTGGAGGTTAGCAAATGTGATACCCATCTACAAGAACGGTTGGAAGGAGGATCCGGGGAACTCCAGGCCTGTCAGTCTGACCTCGGTGCCAGGGAAGGTTATGGAGCAGATCATCTTGAGTGCCATCACATGTCATGTACAGGACAAACATGTGATCAGGCCCAGTCAGCATGGGTTTATGAAAGGCAGGTCCTGCTTGACTAAGCTGATCTTCTATGGCAAGGTGACCTGCTTAGTGGATGAGGGAAAGGCTGTGGATGTTATTTACCTGGACTTTTGTAAAGCCTTTAATGCCATTTCCCACGCCATTCTCATGAAGCAACTTGCGGCTCATAGCCAGGATGGGTGTACTCTTCACTGGGAAAAAAACTGACTGGATGGCCAGGCCCAAAGGGTTGTGGTGAATGGAGTTCAATCCAGCTGGCAGACAGTCACCAATGGTGTTCTCCAGGGCTCAGTATTTGGGCCAGTTCTCTTTAACGTCTTTGACAATGATCTGGATGAGGGGATCAAGTGCACCCTCAGTAAGTTTGCAGATGACACCAAGTTGGGTGGGAGTGTTGATCTGCTCAAGGATAGAAAGGCTCTGCAGAGGGATCTGGACAGGCTGGATCGATGGGCTGAGGCCAATTGTATGAGGTTCACCAAGACCAAGTGCCAGGTCCTGCACTTGGGTCACAATGACCCCATGCAGCCACAGGCTTGGGGATGAGTGGGTGGAAAGGTGCCGTGGTGGAAAAGGACCTGGGGGTGCTGGCCAACAGCCAGCTAAACATGAGCCAGCAGTGTGTCCAGGTGGCCATGAAGGCCAACAGCATCCTGGCCTGTATCAGAAATAGTGTGGCCAGCAGGAGTAGGGAGGTGATCGTGCCCCTGTACTCAGCACTGGTGAGGCCACACCTCGAATACTGTGTGCAGTTTTGGGCCCCTCACTACAAGAAAGACATTGAGGTGCTGGGGCGTGTCCAGAGAAGGGCAATGAAGCTGGTGAAGGGTCAGGAGAACAGGTCTTACAAGGAGCAGCTGAGGGAACTGGGGTTGTTTAGTCTGGAGAAGAGAAGGCTGAGGGGAGACCTTATCACCCTCTAAAACTACCTGAAAGGAGGTTGTAGTGAGGTGGGGGTTGTTATCTTCTTCCAAATAACAGATGATAGGATGAGAGGAAATGGCCTCAAGTTGCACCAGGGGAGGTTTAGATTGGACATTAGGAAAGATGTCTTTACCAAAAGAGCAGTCAAACATTAGAACCAGCTGCCCAGGGAAGTGGTGGAATCACCATCTCTGGAGGTGTTCAAAAAACATGTAGATGTGGCACTTTGGGATGTGGTCTACTGAGTGTGGTGATATTAGGTCTGATGATCTGAAAGGTCTATTCCAAGCTAATGATTCTATGATTATCATCACCACTATATGCAATGTGATTCGAGCATAAGCATCACGAACAATGAAATGAAGAGTTCCCGAGCAATTTAGAAGCAAAAAAGCAAAAAAGTGCCAATCAACCAAAAAATCCCCAAAACCCGAAACAATAGTTACATACAAAGCAAAAAAGCAACCACCCAAACCAACTAACCAACCAAACAAACCACCAACAAAAAACCCCAGTAAGATACATACAAGTCTAAAGATCTGTCAGCCAAATGATTACTGTTTCTATTCCAGGTAGAGCCACCGACTCACTACATGTCACTTTGGCCTCCATCTGCTTCTCTCAAAACTGAAAAAAAATTGATACAGTAGAATGACAACTGAGAACCAGACAGGAATCAAATAGATTTCAATCACCAGACCCACAGAAATAAAAATAACTCCTACCTAATCTGTGTAGAAGTAAATTAGTAAAAAATATATTACATATATATGTACATTAAGGCATTTTAAAAAAAAAACCAAAACAGTAGCTGTTGTTACAAATTTAGCCCAACCTCATATGTATATGTATATGTATATGTATATGTATATGTATATGTATATGTATATGTATATGTATATGTATATGTAACTTCCTTCCTGCATTGTTCAGCATCTTCTGGAAGCAAGGAGTCTGGCCATGGTTTGCTGCCTTCACTACTGATTTCTAACTCAGAAGTTTGCTTAACACAAGCCACTGCACAACACACAATTAAGGGTTGTGGGGCTTTTTCTTTTACCATACATGTGCAGCTAGCTTGCCCTGTGACTCTGATTAATTTTTTACATTGCTGACATTCTTGTGCTTGTGTCCTCTTCAACATTCTGTCCAGTGCTTTTAAGATTTCTGGTACTGTTATCACTTACAAAATAGCATTCAAGACAAAATTCAGCAAACCTCTCTCCCATCTGCTCCTAATCTAGCAATCAGTTCAGCTTCACCTGCAGCACTGTGCACTGACACCACAAGGAATTCTTCGGAGTTCTTAGCACTGTGTCACCCTCCTTAGACATTCAGTGCACTTCGTAATGGTCTCATAGTTCACCCCTGCTCAGCTAGCTGGAAATTACGAAAAAAAAAAAAAACCACCCAAAACCAAAACCACAAACAAGTGTTTCAGAAACAACTATTGTTAGAAAAAGGCTGCTCTCCAGTTTTCTTGCTTATAGGTAGCAAGGGAAGTGTGGTTTAATTAATTCTACACTCTT